TAAATAATATTACTAAACTGTACAAATACTAATAGTACTAAGTATTGTTACTTCTAAAAATTTTTTTAATCCATCCTATCCAACCTCAACCAATTAGTTCCGCGTTTGAGGTTAACGAATTTATTTCGAATGGCACTGGCACTGGCACTTTCTTGTAGGAAATTGGGTTGATCTCGTTTGAATGACTCGGGAGCAGCAAATGGTGTCGATCCGACATCCGGTATATTAGTTGGCGAATTCTCTGCTTCATATAACCCATTAATGGTCCCGTCAGCAATATTTTCAGGTTTCTGTTGTTCAGCACTTCGTTTAATTTGAGTTTGCATAGCCTTTTGTGTTTGCTTAGACACAAAAGAGTTTTCGGCATGTTTACTTCAACAAGAATTTGAAGAAACTCTGAAAATCCTGGAATAGGCCCATAATGAGATATTCCTCGAACACAATGATTTAATAAGTCCGTTAAGTTTGTGTTTTCATGAAGAATCCCATGCAAAATAAGTTCACATTTGTCGTTCCATGAAATCATCTATTTGTTAGCTTAGCTTATTTGCATCCACAACAATTCCAGCCTGACATTGAAACCAAACGTGAAGCTGATCCAAATAATAAAATTGTTTGTTCCGAAAAATGTAAAGTCGGTAATAATGAAGGTAAAAGGGGACAAAGCTTATCGTGGCCAAGAATCGGCTTGGAATAATTCTCTGAAAATTCCAAAAAATGTCCGTCACATTTTGCAGGTGAGTAATAGCAATATTTATTATGTTTTTGTACAAAAAATATATGCAAGAATAAATCTTAAATATAAAAATTCACTAAATACCAAATTAAAAAAAATATTGCCAACAAAATCAACAAAAACTAAGTATAATAAAATATTGAAGGCATCAAATGCTAATTATGTATTGTACGATTTTTAGTTGCAGGCCGAATTAAAATTATGTATAGGAAGATAGCCCAGCCCAGAATGCATAGCTAACCGACACCCGCCGCGCCGCTGGCGCCAGCCGCCCAACTTCCGTCAACCCCTATTGCCTAAGGGAATGTTGTGTAAGAGTTTTTGGGGGTGTGCCGGCCACACCCCCAATGGGGTAACGTGAGACAAATATACGACCACACCCACTGATCGGGGTAAAGTGAGATTTTCGTCTAAATCATCCCCAAAGTGTAAGGCAACACGTTTAAATGATGTCTGGGCACACCCACACGCAACCACACCCACTCTCTTGGGGTAAAATGAGATTTTTGCCCCAATCATCGCCAAAGTGTAATGCTTTAAATTTATTCATCTGTGGCGCTTCCCTCATGTCTCCCTGTTGGGGTAATATGAGATTTTTAGCCAAACCATAGTGAAAGTGTAATGCATCATGTTTACACGTCTGTAGGGTTGCACACATGTCTCCGTGTTGGGGTAAAATGAGATTTTCGCCGTGTGAGCCCACCCAGGCTGTGGGACCCTTCCACTCTGTGGCAACTTGAGAACATCGTTTGTATCTTTACGTCTTGGAAGTTATTACGAAGTGAAGATGACTGGTTGTCCCCATACTTCAGAAACTCGATGGAAATGCAAGACTGTATTTTTCTTAAAGTCGTGATGACGGTGTAAACCGTAAGTTTCGAGCTTCCTTTGGTCCTGCCCACAAAGCATCATCCGATGGATTGCAGGCTTTACAAGTCAAAATCTCAATGAGGTGAAATCCAGAATTAATTTGGACATCCATAAAAGATGCACCCGCGGCGAATAACACGCCGTTTCATAACCAAGTCCAAAATGCAAAGACACAAGGAGTGCTTTAACTGGATTTATCTGATCAGTATTCAATACATGGAAATCTGACAATTTAAAACTTATCCATTAGAATCCTGAGAATTCACAAATTTTCAAATTTACAACAACACTTGAATCAAGAGGCGCCGGCACGATTGCCGCCGGTTTATGACCAGCATAGATCGGTGGGTCGGGTGGATGAATATCAGCAGTTTCTAACGCGTGGAACTTTGGAAAATTCAAAATTGATTCCTCGAACCTGAATTGTAGGAATCCATTAAGTTTTGAAATTTTCTACAAAATTTGTTTCAACAGGCGCTGGCCGGATTCCCGCCGATTTAAGACCAGCATAGATGTGTGTGTCGGGTGGATTAATATCAGGAGTTTCTAGCGCGTGGAACTTTGGAAATTCAAAATTGATTCATCGAACCCGAATCGTAAGAATTCATTCAGTTTGAAATTTTCCACAAAATTTGAATTAAGAGGCGCTGGCGGGATTCCCGCCGATTTATGACCAGCATAGATGGGTGTGTCGGGTGGATTAATATCAAGAGTTTCTAGCGCGTGGAACTTTGGAAATTCAAAATCGATTCCTCGAACCTGAATTGTAAGAATCCATTAAGCTTTGAAATTTTCCACAAAATTTGATTCAAGAGGCGCTGGCGGGATTCCCGCCGGCTTGTGACCAGCATAGATGGGTGTGGTATGCAAATTAATATCAGGAGTTTCTAATGCGTGGAACTCTGGAAATTCAAAATTGATTTCTCGAACCTGAATTGTAAGAATCCATTAAGCTTTGAAATTTTCCACAAAATTTGATTCAAGAGGCGCTGGCGGGATTCCCGCCGACTTGTGACCAGCATAGATGGATGTGGTATGCAAATTAATATCAGGAGTTTCTAATGCGTGGAACTCTGGAAATTCAGAATTGATTTCTCGAACCTGAATTGTAAGAATCCATTAAGCTTTGAAATTTTCCACAAAATTTGATTCAAGAGGCGCTGGCGGGATTCCCGCCGACTTGTGACCAGCATAGATGGATGTGGTATGCAAATTAATATCAGGAGTTTCTAATGCGTGGAACTCTGGAAATTCAGAATTGATTTCTCGAACCCGAATCGTAAGAATTCATTCAGTTTGAAATTTTCTACAAAATTTGAATTAAGAGGCGCCGGCGGAATTCCCGCCGATTTGTGACTAGCATTGATGGGTGTTTCGGGTGGATTAATATCAGGTGTTTCTAGCGCGTGGAACTCTGGAAATTCAAAATTAATTCCTCGAACCTGAATCCTGAGAATTCATTAAGTTTTGAAATTTTCCACAAAATTTGAATTAAGAGGCGCTGGCGGGATTCCCGCCGATTTATGACCAGCATAGATGGGTGTGTCGGGTGGATTAATATCAAGAGTTTCTAGCGCGTGGAACTTTGGAAATTCAAAATCGATTCCTCGAACCTGAATTGTAAGAATCCATTAAGCTTTGAAATTTTCCACAAAATTTGATTCAAGAGGCGCTGGCGGGATTCCCGCCGGCTTGTGACCAGCATAGATGGGTGTGGTATGCAAATTAATATCAGGAGTTTCTAATGCGTGGAACTTTGGAAATTCAAAATTGATTTCTCGAACCTGAATTGTAAGAATCCATTAAGCTTTGAAATTTTCCACAAAATTTGATTCAAGAGGCGCTGGCGGGATTCCCGCCGGCTTGTGACCAGCATAGATGGGTGTGGTATGCAAATTAATATCAGGAGTTTCTAATGCGTGGAACTCTGGAAATTCAAAATTGATTTCTCGAACCTGAATTGTAAGAATCCATTAAGCTTTGAAATTTTCCACAAAATTTGATTCAAGAGGCGCTGGCGGGATTCCCGCCGACTTGTGACCAGCATAGATGGATGTGGTATGCAAATTAATATCAGGAGTTTCTAATGCGTGGAACTCTGGAAATTCAGAATTGATTTCTCGAACCTGAATTGTAAGAATCCATTAAGCTTTGAAATTTTCCACAAAATTTGATTCAAGAGGCGCTGGCGGGATTCCCGCCGACTTGTGACCAGCATAGATGGGTGTGTCGGGTGGATTAATATCAGGAGTTTCTAGCGCGTGGAACTTTGGAAATTCAAAATTGATTCCTCGAACCTGAATTGAAGAATCCATCAAGCTTTGAAATTTTCCACAAAATTTGATTCAAGAGGCGCTGGCGGGATTCCCACCGACTTGTGACCAGCATAGATGGGTGTGGTATGCAGATTAATATCAGGAGTTTCTAACGCGTGGAAATCTGGAAATTCAAAATTGATTCCTCGAACCTGAATTGTAAGAATCCATTAAGTTTTGGAATTTTCTACAAAATTTGATTCAAGAGGCGCTGGCGGGATTCCCGCCGATTTGTGACCAGCATAGATGGGTGTGTCGGGTGGATTAATATCAGGAGTTTCTAGCGCGTGGAACTTTGGAAATTCAAAATTCAAAGCAACAGGACAATTTAGAAATAAAGGCGAATATTTAGCAGCAGTATAAGTAGATTTCTTGACATTGCGAGAATGGCGGGGAGAGAAGAATAAATATACGCAATACTGACGCACGCACACTCTTATTGTTGCTTAGACTTTGATAGCTTGCTGTGAGAAAGTTGTTCTGCTAATAACGGACCGTTATCAACTAATTACCCCAGCTCTGGAGCTCCCAGAATTTCCAAGAGCAGTATATTTAATTGATATGTAATTGTGCTTTCCGGTATACCTACTCCATATTAATTGATTTTCGATTGTACATGAATACTTCAGGGGCTTTGTGCAATAACGGAAAAATGAATTATAGGTATTTGATTATATGAATTGAATTATAATTTGTGTCAGGCGAAGGTATAAATTTTGATTCACAATCAAGCCCTACGCTTTGCGCAAATTGTTATTGAATTCATCCCCAGAACAATAAGTATCCCAATCCCATGTTAAAAGTTAATCATTACAAAAATTGTCACAATGTAGATAAAATAATTGCCAAACCCCTCTTTAGATCAATGTCTTAACCTCTGTACACTCCGTTCTGTCCACTAGATATCAGTTGTAAACTAGTTCAATTTCAGGTGCCTCACTAACTACACAGGGTTATGCTAAATACTATTTAATTTGGTAGTTAAATTTGATATAGAACTCAAGCGCTGACCGATGGCTTACGAATTATGCCGATACTATGTACTACTAGGAATATATGTACTAAAATTCAGTGTCGATTTATTTTTGACTTAATTAAACATTAACCAGGTTAATTAATTACCAAATTTATTCAATAATAACATGTATTTTTTAGGTAATCGTGCTCCAGCTACACACCATTTAACACCCTTGCCTCACACTTCGCACAACCAAACCCTCGAAAGCTTCGTTATGTGTAATTCCCCAGTCTCTTCCTTGTACTTTCGGTTTACGACAAACCGATTTTCCGGTGTAGTTACGTCCAGAAAATAACTTCCAGGAATAGTTGCCCGTGAAGTGGTAGGATCTTACGGTTATTGGTGGAAACACCGAAGGTGTCGATCCGATCGCTTTATACTGCACTCCATAAAAGTTATAGTTGTCATAGAGATGAATTTCTTTCAGGATCTGGAATGGATCCCCGAATCGGGTAGCGGTCAATCGTTGTCCACTCAATGGCCGGAGCGGTTGACAAGTGTCGCCAATTCCAGCCAAGATAGTGTCAAAGTACCAGCCCCTGTGTTGGGATATCCTCCATCTAGGAAGATAATTAAAAACCGCGTTTCATGGATGTTACGTTGAATTTTTGTAATTATTTAATTATGAACTTTATGAATATAACCATGCAAAAATCACTACGACATTACTAATTTATTTCGCAAATATTTGCATGAGATTCTCATACTTAATTTGTACGGTAGTTTGTAGGTAGACGATAATTAAATTAAATTCTGTGCAAATTGTTGCCAACATTTTTAAAAAAATTATAACCAACATTAAAGTGATTTCCCCAACAAAATTTCTTGCCTTTGGTAACAAATCATTTAAGAAATGATTTGTTACCAGGATATTTTGGCTTTTAGTTATTCCCTAACAACGTAAATATTTAAATTCGCACTATGGTATTAAACAACTTACAATCCCATCGCTTTGAAAAAGACGGATTCCTGGTCTCTTGGTAGAATCAGTTCTTGTTCCTGGTCAATTGTTGAGTTGAGTTTTAGAGAATGGTTACCCGGCAAGCATTTCTCGTTAGTTTCGGCCCCAACGTATTCGAATAGATACTGTGGCATGTGGGTTGCCAGACACGTGGCAAAAACCATGGTCGTAGCGTAGAAAACGAGAAAATAAAATAATCGTGCTTCCATCATGAAATTTTTGTAACTAAGGAAATAGACAAGTGAGTGAGTCAGATTTGTCGTAAGATTGATGTCAAGTGGACCAAGTGGTGTCAAATTTATACCAAATGTTGATCTGCTTCATGGCACGGCGTCATATTTCGCGAAAAATGCAATTAAAATAATAACGGAAAACTACCTAAATATTTTTTTTACTTAAAGGGCGACATAATTTATACAAAAAATTATGTGAATATATTTTTGTACTCCGAAGTCAAATAAGGTAAAGATTATGGGAACCCGATCACTTTAAACTTTAGCTGGGATCTAGTCAAAAAACAGTTTTAGGAATCCAAATTTTTGGTATAATATTACAAATATATCTGACTACGAATCCTCCAAATTTCATAAATATTCAATGGCAAACAAATTTCCTACACGTTTTCAAAGCGAAGATTTCGCAAAATGGGTTTTGTGTAAGTACCATAATTCGTTTCTCAAACATAAGCAGAATGCATGACTACATTTCAAGGAAGAGGGGTATATTCCGGCAAAAATTAAGACATACATAAACAAGTATGTAGAATCCGAAAATGTCAACCTCAAAAAAGCACAATGAAAATAAAACACCATAATGACCCCATGAAAGTTAAAAACGATTAATTTGTTTCTTGAAAAGTTCCCATGAACGTCCGTGTCCGGTGTGGTGAAGATGTTGTAAACCAATACAAAGTAGTTGCATCATATGAAAGCTCATAAATTGAGGGTCAAAGCGTATTTAACAAAATGTTCAGAAAAATACTCGGAAGGTCAAGAAAAAATGGTGAACGCAACACGTCTCAAGCTTTGCAGCAAAATTTCTCCAAAAGGTTTGAGCATTCACGACGAGTCATACTTGTTTAAAACCCGGAACGAAAATCCGGTAAGGACATTTTCTTACCCCAAATATCCCAATATAGTGAAAATCAACGAGATACTAAAATGTTTTTCAAAATTTCCGAAGAAATCTCCGGTTTAGTAGGCGTTGGATTAATTTGGTCATATTTAGTACCCTTGCGTCTATGATGGTTTTATGAACGCAACAATTGATTTCAGTGAATATGTGATAGGTCATCGAATTCCCCACATTATGAGGTATAAAAAAATATGACATATAAGTTTTTGACACGACCATGCTAAAATCTACAATGCAACATCCATGTAGGAGGAAATCGAGAAAAATATCAATTTGATGCTGAAAAATGAAAACCTCCTCTACATCCTTCATCTTCGTCAGAAAAATAAAATTTGGACTCTATGTAAGAAGAAATACTTTTGGGCTCGTGGAACGGTCGATACTTTAAGAAAATTTGGGTCCTGATTGGAGAAAATTAACAACGAATTTGCAAAGTCTTCCCAAAAAGAACTAATGAAGGATGTGAAGAAATAGATTAAAAACGAAGTGGATAATGGATTAAAGTATTCTATGTTTACGCATATCGTGAACAGTAATATTTGTAATATCCTAGCAAAATTTGAGATTTTTAGAATCATTTTTTGACCCTTTAAAGGTCAAAAATCCAAGCGATCGGGTTCCCATAATCCTTAGTATAATTTATTAATGCTTCAAAGCCGTGGTAAATATTTACTTATGGTAGGAATCCATACAAGTATGTAAGTGGTAATATACATGACTTGTTTATTTGAATCTAACATAAACAGGGTAGGTACAGGCATAAATAAGAGTATTAATAATAAAGAATAAATATGTATTTATCTGCTAGACATGAAGTTACAATACGGAATCCACAAATATGTCTCAATGTTTTTCTACATTTCGACATCACACGAGGACAATGGACCGTATTGCGTTGAATTGAGAGCAACGGTACCAGCTGGTTGTGCAAATTATTCGACTGCTTATGCAGCTATCTAAAGCATCTATCCAAATTATCTAAATTTAATCGTGTCAACAAAATTACATGACGATCTCCCAGTATTTTTTCAATCCGTTCAGATTTGTTCACACCTTATGGTCACGTACAAAATTCGAGATCAGAAGTATAAAACCACCCGATCCCATCACATCCAATATTTACTGTAACCTCGCAATATAATGACGCCAAATGGCATCAAGGACAAATAAGATTTACATCAGAGTATAGTCGGATCCAGTGCTCGCAACGGGTCCCAGGTAAGACCCGGACCCGACTCGGACCCGAACTCGGGTCCTGGGACCCGGGTCTTCGATTTAATATTATATTCATTTTAATGACGCTTGGGCTTTCAATTTTCCAATTGCTGGCGTCTGGGTATTGTAAATCGTAGTTCATGAGTATATGAAAAGTTAACGAGGCTTTTACTGATGTAAATGATTTACATACCTATATACGCCCACCGGGCCCATTTATCTCGTACTACGGCAAACCTTAGGATATGTCACACGGTCACAAATCTAATTTTGTCGAAAATTTCAAAAGTTATTGGATTCTAAGCATTCCGGCCTGCTGAATCAATTTTAAATTCCTAGAGTTCCACGCGTTAGAAAGCCCCACAGTCAAACTACCTGTTCCCGCACGGGTACCAGTGCGGGTACCCGTTGCCCGTTACCCGTTATGAAAATTAGGTTAAACATTAACCAATTATCAAAATAAAATCGATTTAATAAACCATTTGATCCTTTGGGTGGATAAGCACTTTGAAATAATGCAGGGATAATACATAGCTGGTTGACACACATTTCTAGCTAGATTTTGTTAACTCTTTTTAATTAAAACCTTAGTGACTTATCCAAGCAACCAGTTTATGCTGATTTGTCGAAATTTGAAATTTAATGACATTTTTATGTAAAGAAACATTTAGTTGCAACTAAAATTTTTCCTTCGGGCTATATTTCGTTTTTTACACAGACAAAAACAAATTGAAGGATTTCAAGTCCTATTTATGCAAACGCCTGTGTATGTATCAGTAAAATTAAGTTTAAAGCAAGTCAGTCAATCTTGAAGAACAATAATTTCTCTCATAGACTTAGAATTGGATGGCATATTCTGAGTTTGTTGAAAGTCTGGAATTGTGCAGTTCAAGTGAATACAATAGTTTGTTCGACGGTTGTGGAAGTTCAAACTTGGAACTTACATGTATGTATATTAAAATATTCCGGATCAAAGTTGAAAAACTAGTGATTTTTATTGGGAAAGAAAATGGAGTTTCTTAATCCGCTTGATACAAAGCGCTAATTTTTGGCAACTTCGGCTTTAAATGTTTTGAAAATTACACACCATCGCACAAACTGCCTCAAGGAACGTTGGTGGTAATCCCTTGAACTACACAATTCCAAAGTGTAAACAAAATCGGAGTACAGTTCACACTTCAAGACTCCAAGACTATCGCAGACTTTGTGAGAAATTAAGCTCACTTTCAGCTTAGATTTAGTTATGCTTCAATGGCTCAGAATAAACTGACAAAATGGATGTATATCATTGTTAATAAAAATCAACAGCTCACATGCTTCGCAGGTCACAAATCGGAGGGAATCCCGCCAGCCCCTCTTAATTCAAATTTTGTAGAAAATTTCAAAACTTAATGGATTCTCAGGATTCGGGTTCGAGGAATCAATTTTGAATTTCCAGAGTTCCACGCGCTAGAAACTCCTGATATTAATCCACCCGACACATCCTTCTATGCTGGTCATAAAACTGCGGGAATCACGCCTTCGCCTCTTGAATCAAATTTTGTACAAAATTTCAAAGCTTAATGGGTTCTCCGGATTCAGGTTCGAGGAATCAATTTTGAATTCCCAGAGTTCCACGCGCTAGAAACTCCAGATATTAATCCAGCCGACACACACATCCATGCTGGTCATAAATCGGCGGGAATCACAACAGCGCCTCTTGAATCAAATTTTGTACAAAATTTCAAAACTTGATGGATTCTCAGGATACAGGTTCGGCGAATGAATTTTGAATTTCCAACGCTCCACGCATTAGAAACTCCTGCTATTAATCCACCCGACACACATATCTGTGCTGGTCATAAATCGGCGGTAATCATGCCAGCGCCTCTTGATTGAAAGTTTGTACAAAATTTGAAAACTTAATGGGTTCTCGGGATTCAGGTTCGAGGAATCAATTTTGAATGTCCAGAGTTCCACGCGCTAGAAACTCCGGATATTAATCCAGCCGACACACACATCTATGTTGGTCATAAATCGGCGGGAATCACGCCAGCGCCTCTTGATTGAAAGTTTGTACAAAATTTGAAAACATAATGGATTCTCGGGATTCAGGTTCGAGGAATCAATTTTGAATGTCCAGAGTTCCACGTGGTAGAAACTCTCGCAATTAATACACCGGCCACATTCATCTATTTTTGTCAATGACTAGGACTTGTCATAAATTGGGGGGAATCACGCCGGCGCCCCGTGATTCGAGCTTTGTCGAAAATTTGAAAATCTAGTGGATTCTCCAATCTATTGTGGGTTTCGGTTTATTGATAATTTACCTATGTTGTAAGGGATGCCATCCACAAAGAAGTGAATGGCAAACTCACATCTTTGCAAAATGCGAAATTCCATACCGGTGAAATTTCCCACGTGGGAACGCCCAAAACAAATTCGGACCTCACGGTTTACACCAGGGCCAGGGTTGTGTTTAGTTTTTGACGAATAGCGACACCCTCACATGTCCACTTCATAGTAACTTACCAGACGCAAAGATGTAAACGAGAAGCTCAAGTTTCCTCTAGGTTGAAGGGCTCTGCCTTGTGGGAGTGCCCAATCGACGTAAAACATTAAGCATTATAGTTTAGAAGAGATTTTAGCCGAAATCTCATATTACCCCAACAGGGAGACATGAGGGCAGCCCCACAGATGAATAAACCTAAAGCATTACACTTTGGTGATGATTTGGCCAAAAATCTCATTTTACCCCCAAAGAGTGGGTGTGGTTGCATGTGGGTGTGCCCAGACATCATTTAAACGTGTTGCCTTACACTTTGGGGATGCTTTGGACGAAAATCTCATTTTACCCCAGATAGTGGGTGTGGCGGCATATTTGTCTCACGTTACCCCATTGGGGGTGTGGTCGGCACACCCCCAAT